CATACAACCATAGGCACCACACACAACCATAGGCACCACACGCATCCACAACCACCACAACCACCTCCACACAGAGCCAGACCTCCACAAACGACCACAACCCACACATGAGCCAGCACAACCAGGCAACCACAACCTCCACAACACAAACCCAACCACACTTCCACGCACAATCACAACCTCCACACACAACCACAACCACCGTAACCACCTCCACACACAACCACAACCATCACAACAAAACCCCAACTACATCTCCACAAGAAAACCCCAACCACATCTCCACAACACAACTACAATCTCCAAACATAACCACAAGCACTACAACCACCTCCAACCACAATCAATTGTAATAACTATTTTATAAATACATTTTTCTCATTCCTTGGAGCCTAGCACATTTAAACTTTGCGCCATTTACAAATATACCGCACTGCCCAAACCCTTTTCAAGTATAAGTTGTATGGAAGGAAATAAATCAAACTTTGCTTCACTTACACCCATCCCATAGCATAGTCACCACATCCCATAACACAACCAACCAAACCACAATCACCACACCACAACCGCACATCTACACACAACCCACAACTGCCACACCACAAGACATAGCTCCACAACCCCCCGACTCACAACCAACACACCACAAACACTCAACCACACCTCCACGCACATCTCACGACCACCACGTCACATGAAAAAACACCACAACCACCAAACCAACAACACAACCACCACAACACACAACACAACCACCCTAGTCTACAGCACAACAACCCAAGTCACAACCACCAAACCACAACCACCCAACCACACACACAACCCACAGTCACCACACCACAAGACACAACCCCATAACCACCCAAACCATAACCCCCACATCACGAACACCCAACCACACCTCCACACACATCCTACAACTACCATACCACAAGACACAACACCACAACCATCGAAACCACAACACAGCCACCACAACCCACAACACAGTTACCACAACCCACAAGACAACCACCCAACCCACAACTGCCACATCACAACCATCGAACCACACATCTACACACTGCACACAACCCACAATCCACAACCACCACACCACAAGACAATCCCACAACCACCCAACCCACAATCACCACATCACAAACACCCAACCACACCTCCACACACATCCCACAACTACCACACCACAAGACACAATACCAAAACCACCCAACCCTCAACACAACCATCACAACCCACATCAAAGCCACAAAAGCCCAAAACACAACCACCACAACCAACAACATAGTCATCACAACCCACAACACATCCACCGAACCCACAACCACCACACCACAATCACCTAACCACACCACCGCACACATCTCACACTCACCACACCACAAGACACATCATCACAACCACCCAACATCAATCACACCACAAACCACAACACATCTACCACAATACACAACACAACGACCACAACCCACAACCACCACAACACAATTACCCAATTACACGTCCACCCACAACCACCACACCACAAGACAGCACCACAACCACCCAACCCACCACCTCACACCTCCACGCACATCTCACGACCACCACGTCACATGACAAAACACCACAACCACCACAACACACAACACAACCACCACAAAACACAACACAACCACCATAGTCTACAGCACAACAACCCAAGTCACAACTACCAAACCACAACCACCCAACCACACACACAACCCACAGTCACCACACCACAAGACACAACCCCATAACCACCCAACCCATAACCCCCACACCACGAACACACAATCACA